TGATTTGTTTCCTTATGCGTCAAACCTCGCAAACCCTGTCACTCAAATTTCAAACACCATCTCTTTCCCCACCCCAAACCGCACACCACCCCGCTCAACCTCCCTAACCCAACCAGTCCCCGCTTTACACTTTCCTCTCACCTGCAAGTTCATAGTTGCTCTCACCTGCAAGTTCATCGTTGCAGGCATATTTCCCTGCAGAGATAGTCGACTATGATGTTTCATTAGCTAACTCAACCACGAAAGATTACACCCAACAGCCAGAGAACGTAGACTTCAGTGTTTTAGCTAACGAGATTCACCTATTCTGATCTGTTTAGTAATCAGCATCAATCTGGACAGTTCTTTTAATCTGCGGTGTTTAATTGTCAACCCCACATAGCCCAGGGCTACCCTGGGCATCCCTAGGGTTTTTATGCAAGGCAGAGGGCAGCGGGGCGAGCATTAATCGAACTCGGACGAGCATTTTGAAAAGCTCGTCTGCATTTTGGTGGAAACTCGTCTAAATAGGCGAGTAACGAGTATGCAATATCGCATAAATTACTCGACCGAGTATTGCTCGACTCGTCTGTTTGCACTTGTATAATCATTACAGTCATGTGTTTGCTAAACCTTAAAACCCGAGTCGCCAATAACACGCTGCCACCCACCTACTGCAACCGTGCGTTGCTTAGAAGGCTTATCTTTTATGCTTCACATTTCTAAAGGTCATGCATGTGCAAGGTACTTAGAAACACCCATAATAACTTTCCCTATGCAGAAACCAGGGTTAGTTCCATAACAGACCGTCAAATAGTTCCTCAGCTACGCAGAAATGGATAGGAGGAGGGTAGGAGGAGCTCATGGTGAGCTACAATCTGCTGTCGCTGAGGTAAAAACACACCCTGCACATTGGCATCAGGTTGTTGTCGGTGGACGAGGCCAGCACCGCTTTCCGAGAGATATGCATTCAGGTACGCATAGTTCTCTTTGATCTATGGCATCAACAATACATTTATTGTGGATGTGTTTAGGGTTGCAACTCGCACACTGCACATTACTCAAACTACACAAGTGCTTGGCGCATGTAATGAACCTCGGCAGTGTAACCCTAACCGGCTAAACAACCCGAAACCCTAAAATGCTCACGGTAGTGACCGTGAATGCCACCAGTGGGTACTCATGTGCCCTTAACCGCGTGTAGAGCCTCCCTAGATCGAAACCCACGGACTGATTTCCGGAACTAAATGTGGAAGAAACTTTCCTAACCCTTCACTCTTGCCCTGTAAATAAACCTTAGGTTTTATATGTTTCCTCCATTCTACCACTAAGCAATGTACTCTTAATTATTAAATGATGGAGTATTGCTCCTCCTATTTCACCTAGGTAAGGGTTGGAGTGGGCGTGAGGGCGCTGGCACTAAGGTTGCGATGTGTTTAAGCTAAAAAAATGAGCTCAAACACAAAGTCCGGCGACCCTAAAATTGGTTGCGGGACATTTCGTCGACAAACACAAATGTGTTCGTTGACGCCCCGCGACGAACACGAACATGTTCCTGTTCGACGCGGCTCGGCCTTCTGTGCCGAGTCGAACACGAACGTGTTCGCTCCGAACATTTTTTGCCAAACAAAAATCCTGTTTGGGAATATGCTCAAGCCTAGTTGGTCTGACCAAACCCTAAACCCAACACAACACTGAGTCGGCCAACCAACTAAGTTGGTTGTTGATTGATTGTAACACGTGCTTTTTCATTGTTGTATCTCGATTTTTCAACAATTGCATCTAGTGATTCTTCACAAACGACCAGCAACATTTGTAGATTCGCAAGAGCAGCAGCAGACAGGATGGCAAAGATAAGTTAAAATCATTGCAAATGGGTGACCATTGGGGCTTCAGGGAGGGGCAACGGGTTGCTTGATTTGATGGGTAACAAACGCGGAACAAGAGGGTCGTAGATTTGATGGTCAAAATCCTTACAGATACACCAATCCCGTCATGGAGCCAATCTCTGCAGGAATAGAGCCATTGAACTGATTGACATAAAGATATCTGACGAAGTGAAGTGTGGCGATATGATGGGATGTGAGAGAGTGAAAAGCAAATATCGTGGAATGCCAAGGTCAGTAGGTGTTCGAAAGGCGAAGTATGCAAAAGAGCTGTTTAAAAAAAACGTCTCTGCCTCCCAACTACAAGGAAACTTAAGCGGTCAAAAATGGAAAGATTCAGGGTAGGATTCGTAGTGAGGATACCGGAATGTCACAAGGAAAGGGGGCAGAGAAGGGTGGTGAAGAAACCATTGAAGAAAGCACAGAACACTAGGGTTTAGCGAAGCATGAAACTACAGCTCTGGTTTGACACGACACTCACAAGAGTTGGATTCGAGAGAAAGATCCGACACTTGCATGAATGATGCCTGAAAATTGGTTCCTCGACAAATCCCTGAGATGGAAAGGGCAATGAGCAAAGGCATAGAGTATAGTTTAAGCGCTAGTACCAATGCCATATATATAGGCTACGTTGGTAGATATACATTGTGGAGGGGGGGGGGGAAGGGCATTTCGCGCATACACCAAATACAAAAATACGCTTGGAATACACTGAAATACTTTCGGGCAGCCCGCAGGAAAAACATTAGTCTGAACAAGCGATCGCGGCATTCGCAATGCCCCGATTTGTTTCCTTATGCGTCAAACCTCGCAAACCCTGTCACTCATATTTCAAACACCATCTCTTCCCCCACCTTAAACCGCACACCACCCCGCTCAACCTCCCTAACCCAACCAGTCCCCGCTTTACACTTTCCTCTCACCTGCAAGTTCATAGTTGTTGCGCATTTCCGCAGCTGAGATCTCAATCTGGCCGACAACTCTGACTGCAACTGTTGACTGGCAATCTTGATTAGATGGCTGCATCTTAACTTCGTTTAGACATCGAAGCATCAAATTCGTTTATCTATCTGAAGAACATGTCGACCTCCCCCTCTCTCCTTCACGCATTCTTATATCTTGACGCATTTTCGTAGTGGACCTGCAGCGTACTGCGTATGTACGCCAGCATATTAGTCGTTGGCGTATATTACGCGAAACGCGTATCTGCCATCATAGTATCTAGGAAGGTAGACTCTCGACAACACTGCTTTCAGAGGCGAGTCAACGCGCTGGAGTAAGCTATAGCTCGCTCTCAAATTTATGATGACCTTGTATGATACTTCAATCACCTTCGGTTTGACGCTCTGGACACCACTGTTGCTTACATATCTTGACGTAGGCATGAGCAAAAGTCGAACTAGAACATGTTCAGTCGGACTCAAAAAAATTGCATGTTTGACTGCTATATATGATTGTCGAACACATGCATGCATGCGCAAATCGAACTAATGCATGTTTGAGTGCTTGTGTTTGGTTTGTGTAGGCCTTCCATAATTGTCCTCGGTGACCACTTCCATTGTTTTGGGGTGGCAACATGTGTGCTGAGTGTTAGAGCTCGTGGGGAACACAAAATGCCTACACATGACACAAGCGAACCAGCCATAGCTGGACTATGAAGGTTCGACTCGAACACATCTGTGTGTCTAGCACATTCTCTTTGACGTGCCTCGGCGGGTTTCGTCTAAAACTGCGCATCAATACTTGATGCCACAAGTTGCATAGCAAGCCGTGAACCCTAGACTCAATCTCATGAATCTAGTGCAACTGGGAAGGGGTTATTTATTTGGGTTGGCAAAGGTCTGCCAGAGGCAAAAAAGTCAACCACACACGAAATCTCAGTTCGAGATTGACACGATTCACGTGGATCCGCATGTTCAACCAACAATTTGTGCAGCTTGCTGCATTTCAACTGCCAACTTGTGCGGATAGACCATTTTAACCACTGGATTGGCACCTTTCTAAAGTTAGCTGACAATTTGCACGGATTGGTGAATCTGACAGCCGAGCCCCCTATCTGCGCTAGGATTAGAGTAGGCATGAGCGCCAGGACAAACATCGAGACGAACCGAACAGAGCCTGTTTTTTAGCCCAACGTGTTCGACCGAACATGTTCTTGTTCGGAAGAGGGGTACGACCATTAGTTTTTTAGGTCGACGGGACACAAGTGTCGAGCTCATTTCTGCCCGATCCTCTATCGATCCTCGACACTTGGATTTATTTTATTCTGACGAGTACCGCTTCGCGACATTTCGCCGTCAGATCCGCGCGGATCTGGGATTTCGCCATCAATCACGCGCAGATCTGGCAATTTACGTCAGTTACGCGCACGTCCTGGCACTAGCATGTATGAAGCAGGGCGGGACTGGCTTGGAGGGTGGGGGAAAGAAATGTGCCACAATTTTGAGTTTTACTCGATCTGGATCTTATAGCCACTCCACAATTGTCAACAGCACCCATTTCGCCAATAAACCCGTATTATTCATTAGTTCCTAAACTAAAAAGATCGCATGGGAATGCTGTATGAGTGTAACGAATGAGCCTAATAAACGAACACTAACATGTTCGCCCCAAACATGTTTGTGGAACGGGCACCTAAGTATTCGCCTTAAAGGCGAACACCGAAAATGTTTGGTTCGCCGAACATGAGTGTTCGAGCCTAGGCGATGCTCGAGTGTATAATTGCATCTTGATTGTTAGGTGATGCTCTCCGTTTTCTTGCCTCTCCTCAATGTGATATGCCTCGCTTGATCAACTCCTTGGTTGTGTGTGTTGCCACCGAAACGCGCGGCCGAAGGCCGCCGGCGCGAGCCGCCGAAAACTGAGAACACACGAAATAATGAAGAGGAGAAGGCACCGAGGGCCCTTAAATAGGCTCAGAGGAAGAGGGCAGAGGGCAGAGGAAGAGGGCTGAGTGCTAAGGCCTTCTCTCTCTTGCTCTCTCATCCTCTCACTCCCATCCTCTCACTCCCATCCTCTCACTCCCATCCTCTCACTCCCATCCTCTCACTCCCATCCTCTCACTCCCATCCTCTCACTCCCACCCTCTCACTCCCATCCTCTCACTCCCATCCTCTCACTCTCATCCTCACTCCCATGCTCTCACTCCCATCCTCTCACTCCCATCCACTCCCATCCTCTCACTCCCATCCTCTCACTCCCATCCTCTCACTCCCGTCCTCTCACTCCCACCCTCTCACTCCGATCCTCTCACTCCCATCCTCTCACTCCCATCCTCACTCCCATGCTCTCACTCCCATCCTCTCACTCCCATCCTCTCACTCCATCCTCTCACTCCCATCCTCTCACTCCATCCTCTCACTCCCATCCTCTCACTCCATCCTCTCACTCCCATCCTCTCACTCCATCCTCTCACTCCATCCTCTCACTCCCATCCTCTCACTCCATCCTCTCACTCCCATCCTCTCACTCCATCCTCTCACTCCCATCCTCTCACTCCATCCTCTAACTCCCATCCTCTCACTGCCATCGCCTCCCTCGCATCGCCTCCCTGCTATCGTCTTCCCCCCTCCTCCCTTCCCATGGCCTCACAGGGCCACGATCATGCCGGAGGGGTCGCACGTGAGGCCTGTGGCACTACTGCAGTCCGGACTCGTGCCACTCCACCCGGGGATGCTCTGCCCCCATGCCGACTGGCACTCCTGCAGGAATTGCACTGCAACCAGTGCCAGTGGGTGGGGTCCAAACAGGGGGGGGGGGGGGGGAGGGGGGGGAGGGGGGGGGGGGGTTCGACAGGATGGAGGGTTATGGCAGGATGCCGGTGGCACTCGCCTTGCAAGGAAATACTTTTTGCAAGGAACAACACTTTTCTTGCGAGTGGCATTCGTTGAGAGCGGCAATCCCCTTGTGAGCGGCACTTGCCGCCTTGCAGCACTTGCCAAAAGTTGCCTGCTGTGCGGCACTCAGCCACGCGAGCCAGATTCTTGCAAGAGACATGCGTCTCAAAAAATATGTTCCCCTCAAACGCGCCACAGGTTGAGGAGGACAGGACACAGAAGTTCTACCCCAAAAAAAAACCCCACTCCTCCCCTCCCCCCCCCCCCCCCCCCCCCCCCCCTCCCCCTCCCCCATCGGAACCTATACCTGTGTGTCGATCCAGATGCCATCCATTCCCTTGAGGTTTGAATGACATCGCTGGGGCAATTTTTGCGATGCCTGGGATTGGCGTCTTGCAATACACACTTACAGCGTGTCACCTGCTGCTTGAATTCGTCATCCCACGCGGCATCATTCCCAACTCCTGGATTTCCCTCGACAATCGAACTCGCCGTTTTCCAAAGCGCGCAAGTACTGTACACATCCAATTGCGGAAAATTGTTCCGTACTTTTTTTTTCTCTTTCGGGTTGATGCAAAATATTTGTGAATCAATCGAAGTGTGACTGCTCGCCATAGAGTGACTCGACAATCATTGCGGGCGAGGCTGAACTACAGTAACTCAGTGGTTACCGAATGAAATTGTTACAGTATGGTTTTATTTTGTTACATCGAAAACCGTGATTGGCTATAATATTGATATGTACACTCGAACGTGCTATTGAACGTGCTATAATTTTGTTGCCCTATTGAAACATGCTATTTATTGATGATGGTGTCGATTTGATTTCTGCATGCCAAAACTAAATATAGCATTGAAAAATTGTATATCAATTTCAGCGGATATAAAAAGTTTGTCATACACGGCATGACATGCAAATTAAGAAACAGTGACGTTCAACCATACAGGGTTAAATACATTACATAACTTAGCAGTAAAAAGGACGAAGCATAAATCCTGCATTTCGGAAAACCAGCACTCGGTACGTGCACAATCCTGCACAGGATATGAAGCGCACATAAATACACAACCTGCAAAAGTAACATACGATAAGAAAAAAGACGACCACCACAGCAGGAGTTACTGACAATGAACTAAGCGTAGCGTCGATACAAAGCATCTGGGTCAGACTCGGACACTACGTTGTGAGTAGCAACCACAAAAAGCGGCAACCACCAGTGTTGCAGAAGCGCTCATAATGACACAACCTGCAAAAGAACACACGATTAGAGAATCTCAGGCAAACCTCGGGATGAGACGCCAATAAGAGACAGACAGCAAGTCAAGAGAAGAGACATTGCGCGACAATCAAGTAAATATTACGGTCCTGCCAAGACTTACCTACTAATGAAGCCTTCCAAAATACGGATGATTCCCTGCAACGAAGGTATAGCGAGTACATTAGAGTGAGACGAAAAAAAAAAAAAGGGTCGACGGTGTATGCAGAAGGTGAGCGCGAATAAAGAGATGCACTAAAGCTGCTGCTGCGACAGGAGCTGACACTGGCCCTGGCACTAACAACAGAAACGAAGAGAGAGCAAATGAAGAAATGAACTGCTCTCGAAAGGGAGAGCTGAAGTTCTCAGTCAGGGGAGGGAGAAACTGGGTGGTTGTGTTCCAGCGAGGCGGTGAGCAGAGCACTTCCCTGCTGGAGCACCAGCGAAGCACCAACTTGTGAAGATGGGCGTGTGCAATAGGGGTTCGAACTTCTGTATAAGTTCGAACTTTTAGAGAGGTTCTACTCGGTAAAAAAATTTTGAGAGACGTGTCGCCACGGTTCAAAGCGGTTAATGTTCGAACTTTGACAAATTTCGCCAAAAGACACACGCCCTTATGATTCATGCACCAGCGAAGCACCAACCAGAGCACTTCACCTTGCAACGTGGCAACGATTCTGATTCGTCGCCTCGATGGCTCACCTGTCAACGGGAGTTGTGTGTTGGCCCCGTCCTCGCTTGGGCGGAGCCGACTTCGTGGTCGGGTGTGAGGGGAGCAGCCGACCTGCAGCAGTGAGCGAGCTGGTTGACGAGGAGGTCGACCTGCACGGGGGCCACTGCACGGGCGTTGACTTCAGGGAGGTCGACCTGGGAAGTCGACCTGCGGAGGACGTCAACTTGGTGACGTCAACTTGGGGCAGCCGACTTGGGTGGTCGGCTGACAAGACTGCTGGTCGACCTGGTGGTTGGTCGACCAGGCCTGCTGGTCGACTTGGTGGTGGTCGACCAGGCGTGATGTCGACCTGGTGGTCGACCTGACCTGGTGGTCGACGAAGGAGGGGCCGACGTCGACCTCATCTCAGGACGCCGAGCAGCTGGGCGTCGAGTAGTAGGGCATCAACTTGGTGATGCCGACTTCGGGTAGCCGACTTGGGTGGTCGGCTGACAACTGCGCTGGTCGACATGGAGCTGGTTGACCAGGAGGGACGTCGACCTGGAGTTGGTCGACCAGGGGCGTGGTCGACCTGGTGAGGTCGACTTGGGGTGGTCGTCGACTAGGGAGGTCGACGGGCACATACAGGAGCAGCTGGTCGACGTGGTTGCCCGGTCGACCAGGTTACCTGGGTGACGAGGTTCTGCGGAGGAGTGCGGCGGTCGCCCAGGCGAAGTTGGCGAGTCCGACCTCGGTGGTGGTATCCCGAGGTCGACGTGGCCGATCAGATGCAGTCGTCAGCGCCAGGTTGACTTGGTGTGTGCGCTGTGCAGGTGACGAGGCTCAGCACGCCAATCATCTGCGAGCACCTGCGAAGCTGGTGCGGTACTGTACTGCGGGAGCAACGCTGGCACGCCGTCAACCTGCGACGTTGGCACGCCGTCGACTTTGCACTGCTGGAGCGCGGTCGACCAAGTCGTGCTGGAACGCGGTCGACCATGCTGCGCTGGCAGTTGACTGACCAGAATGCTAGCTCTGATGTAGTCTTGCTATGCCAACTTCTTTGTACCATTGTTGTCACCTTTCTCTAGTGAAACTCTTGCCAACTTGCTCCGTGAACTAGCAAGCAGTGTGTGCACTAGGAAAACGACTAAGGACCAACGAACGCAGAGATCACACGAGCACCCGTGCTTAGCCCGTAGTCTAGCTCCCGTTGTAGTAGTTATCTCCGCATCACCCGCCGCCACCTCTCATATCGCTAGAGAAGGATGTGCATCAGCTACGGTGTCAAAAGAGTGAGCACGGATTGGCTGCAAATATATATGCCCGGACAGCTGCCAAGTGTAACCTTACAATATATTGCACTGCCTGCGTCAGCAGGCAGTGCAATGAGTCAGTGGGCAAGAAAAAAAAAAGGGGGATCGCGTAGAGATGTGGTCAGTAACAAGCAGGACAGTCATTATGTACAACTTTATGTGCTTACATACAGATTATATTTCAGAAAGTGTCTCACACAAAAGCCATATTGGAAGCCACAGAGTTGTTGGGAATTTCAATGTTTTTTTTTTTTTTTGCTTAGGGTAGACTTAGGCATCCTTCCCATACTACTACCGAAAGAATTGCAAAAAACACATCTAAGAGTGGTTTGTCGCTTCGAATGCCCGCCTATTTCAATACCTTTCGAGGCTGAGAACCACTTGGTTTGTATTCCAAATCATAAGTTTGATGGCTCTATTATCTCCCCTATACCTCCTCTACTGTTCTGGATTGAAATTCGTTTTTGGGTAAAATTCACCAAAACCAAGATTCAAGCTACACCAACAAAGCTCCAAGCACCTGACAACTCATTCTCTGGCTATCATGGACATGTGTTAATTTCAAGCATGTTTTTTTTTTGTATTTAGAAGTATGTGCTGTGTATATGACCTACTATGGTGGCAGCCTACTATGGTGCCCTGTGATATTTCGACGACATTGCCTGGTTTTGCCCCGATACGCCCCAACCCATGCACAAACAAGCGTCACGGGCTGGGTAGTTGTGCGAATGAACTCAAACCAGTTCCTATGGCAAGGAAATAGGGTTAACTACCTGTATGTGTGAAGAAATGGTGCTAAAAACAACAAAAAAACGATAAAACGGTGACATGTTGCGTATAGGCATATCCTTGCACAGTTTCAGGCCATCAAACGCACAAACAAGCGTCACGTGTGCGTAGTCATGCGAACGAGCCCAAAACACTTCCTATGGGAAGGTAGTTGATTGAAATACCTGATTTTGTGAGAAAATGGTGCTAAAAAAAACAACCAAACGATGAAACGGTGACATGTTGCGTACTGTCCTATCCTTGCACAGATTCAGGCCATCAAATGCACAGACAAGCGTCACGTGCTGCGTAGTTGTGCGAATGAGCTCAAACCAGTTCCTATGGCTAGGGAAATGGATAAACTAGGGAACTGTGTGAATAAATAGGGCTAAAAACAACATATAGACGATGAAACGGTGACATGTTGCGTACTGGCCTATCCTTGCACAGATTCAGGCCATCAAACGCGCAAACAAGCGTCACGTGCTGCGAAAATGTGCGAATGAACTCAAACCAGTTCCTATGGCTAGGGAAATTGATAAAATAGGGAACTGTGTGAAAAAATAGGGCTAAAACAAACATATAGGCGACGAAACGGTGACATGTTGCGTACTGGCCTATCCTTGCATAGATTCAGGCCATCAAATGCGCAAACAAGCGTCACGTGCTGCGTAGTTGTGCAAACGAACTCAAACCAGTTCCTATGGCTAGGAAAATGGATAAACTAGGGAACTGTGTGAAGAAATAGGGCTAAAAACAACATATAGACGATGAAACGGTGACATGTTGCGTACTGGCCTATCCTTGCACAGATTCATGCCATCAAACGCGCAAACAAGCGTCACGTGCTGCGTAGTTGTGCGAATGAACTCAAACCAGTTCCTATGGCTAGTGAAATGGATACACTAGTGAACTGTGTGAAGAAATAGGGCTAAAAAACCATATACATAATTAAACGGTGACATGTTGCGTATTGGCCTATCCTTGCACAGATTCCGTACATCAAACAAACAAACACCACGTGCTGCGTAGTTGTGCGAATGAACTCAAACCAGTTCCTATGGCTAGGGAAATGGATAAAATAGGGAAATATGTGAAGAAATAGGGCTAAAAAAAACATATAGATGACGAAACGGTGACATGTTGCGTACTGGCCTATCCTTGCACAGATTCAGGCCATCCAACGCGCAAACAAGCGTCACGTGCTGCGTAGTTGTGCGAATGAACTCAAACCAGTTCCTATGGCTAGGGAAATGGATAAAATAGGGAACTGTGTGAATAAATAGGGCTAAAAAAAACATATAGGCGACGAAACGGTGACATGTTGCGTACTGGCCTATCCTTGCACAG